ATGTGGTCTCTATTTATAGATAATGAAAAATTATGAATTTTGGTATTTTTATTTTAATTTTTTAATATAAATAATTAATGATATTTTAATTTATGTAATATGTCTCATTTTTCAATTAAAAAAGAAAAATTATGGATGTGAACTACACTCTCTTAGTTTCTCTAATTTTGGGGAATGAGGGACGCGTGCAAATGTGTCTTGGCACACCTAGCTAGGTGTGCCAAGGCACACGATAGTGCTACTGGTTCATATAAGTATTAATAATCGGGTGAATGATAACTAGAAAACGTGATATTTCAAACGATGATGCAAGTTTTTATTTTATATTTTTTTTGGTAATAAAAAAATCGAGGCATAGAAAAAGAGTAAAATCGACCCGTTTTTGATTGACCAGGCATAGAATAGAATAGTTAAAGTCGCCCCGTTTTGTTTGACCAGGCAGGCACTCTAACAACGAAGTAGCCATAAAATACCCAAAGGGAAAATTCAAACAACGCCCACGCGTCAATTATCTCTTCTCTAAAATTTTTGTATTGTATATAAATAGCATGTGTATGTCCTCATCATCTCTATAATATCCATCCATAACATAATAATATAAACAATCAATCTCTCCATCTCAAAGTCTTTTCCACTCAGCAATTCAACACCACCTCTCTTGAAAGAAATGAAGGGTTCCTTGTTTTCCAGCACATCTCCTTCCCCGTCTCATCCTTTGCACACCCACAATCACGCTTCCCCTTCCTCCACGCCGCCACACCACCGCCACACCTTCTCCGAGACTATGACGGAGGAGAGCATCGATGATGCCGAGTCCATCGTCAGAAATTGGGATTTGGATGCCCACAAAGACGCAAAATTCTCACCTCTGTTCGCGCCCGACGGCGACAGAAGAGAGGCGCACAGATTTGTGGAGGCGGTGGCCAGTTTGCAGGCCGCTATGCACTATTACGTCAAGATCCACTCCGGCCCGGACAAGCTCGTCCGGGCTCAGAACCTCATGAAGATTGCTATCAAGAGACTCGAGAAGGAGTTCTATGTAACTTTATCCTCTAATCGGAAAAATCTCGACTCCGAGTCGGTTTCTAGCCGCTCCTCCAGGGGTTCTGTCAGATCCAGCGTTTCGGACTATTATGAAGATGATATTTCAGAAGAGGAGAGAAGCACGACGCCGCCCCGTACGCCGCCTCGGACTCCGCCTCGGACCCCGCATCCTGTATCCGAAGCCGAGAAAGCTTCGGATATGGCCATGGTGGATCTGAAGACCATCGCCGACTGTATGATTGCAGCAGGATACGGGAAGGAGTGCGTCCGCGTTTACAAACTCATCAGGAAATCGATTGTTGACGAGAATCTCTACGGTTTGGGAGTCGAGAAGCTGACCCACTCTAAGATGCAGAAAATGGATTGGAACGCTCTGGAAGCCAAAATCAAGGCGTGGCTGCACGCGGTCACCGTAGCCGTGAAAACTCTCTTCCACGGGGAGAGGATTCTGTGCGACGTCGTTTTCTCCTCCTCGGAGAGAATCGCAGAGTCTTGTTTCACCGAGATCTCGCGGGACGCCGCCGTGAATTTGTTCAGCTTCCCCGAGAATTTCGGGAAGAGCAGGAAGATCCTCTCGCCGGAGAAGATGTTCCGCGCTCTCGACATGTACGAGGCGATCTCCGAGCTCTGGCCGGAGATCGAGTCGGTGTTCTCGCACGAGTCCCTGTCGGCAGTGAGGTCGGAGGCGATGGCTGCTCTGGGGAAGCTCGCCGAGGCTGTGAGGGTTATGCTCGCCCAGTTCGAGGCGGCTATTCAGAAGGACTCCTCAAAGACGCCGTCCGGCGGCGGGGTCCACCCGCTCACGCGCTACGTGATGAACTTCCTCGTCTTCATCGCGGACTACAGCGGCGCGGTCACAGACATACTGGCGGAATCGCCG